TTCTGATTGGTTCTTTTTTATATCTTCCATTTCTTTGTTGACGTTCTCACTGAGTTCATCTATTCTTCTCCCCAGATCAGTGAGCATCCTTAACAATCTTTGTTCAATTTTTAAACGATTTTACTGAAACAGGTGAGATTGTGTCACTTAGATCTTCAAAATCTCTAATAAATCTAATTGCCATATAAAAATTGAGAAAGTTATCAAACAACTTCTCCCCAAAAGTACCAAGCCCATATAATATCATAGGCGAAATATGTCAAACCTTAAAAGAACAGCTAATTTTACTATTAAACTGTTACAGGGCATAGAAAATGGTAAGCTTCCACATTTTTTAATGATACAAGCTTTAAATTACACCCAAATTTGACAAAGATAGCACCAAAAGAAGTAAACCACCGGCCAAACTTACTAATGAATATCAATGCAAAAAAAAATCCCAAATAAAATATTAGCAAACAAATTCCATAACACAAAGAAGGATACACCAAAGACAAATACCATTTATTCCCGGAATGCACTGATGGTTTAATATAATTAAACATATTAATAGATCTGAGGAGGAAGTCACATTTTCCTTACTACATGAAAATTAAATGCTTAAATTACATTTAACAAAATGTGATTTAACAAATTTAACAAAATTCAGCATCCATTCTTGATTTTAAAAAACATAATGAAATGAGCAGATGTACTTCTTTAGTATGATAAATGTATTTCAACCCAAAAGTCAGCATTTTTCTTAATGACAAATACTAGAAAGATGTCTACTATCACCACTATATTTTTAACCAATTTTTTTTTTTTTTTTTTTTTGGTGAGGAAGATTGTCCCTGAGCTAACGTCTGTGCCAATTTCTTCTATTTTGTATATGGTACGCTGCCACAGCATGGCTTGATGAGTAGTGTATAGGTCTGAGCCCAGGATCCGAACCTGTGACCCCTGGGCCACCGAAGTGGAGTGCATGAACTTAACTACTATGGCACCAGGCTGGCCCCTATTTATATTTTAATAATTAGCAATGAAAGGACTTACATTTTGTCAATCTAAGTTACACAGGAATGGAGAAATAACAAAAAAAAAATGAAATTGACTAAGGTTAAGGATGTTTTGCAACTTTTTCAGAAAGGAGAATATAAATGTAAACGACTCTTTTAAACACTCTTTTTTTTTTTTTTTTTTGTGAAGAAGATCAGCCCTGAGCTAACATCCATGCTAATCCTCCTCTTTTTGCTGAGGGAGACCGGCTCTGAGCTAACATCTATTGCCAAGCCTCCTTCTTTTTTTTTCCTCCCCAAAGCCCCAGTAGATAGTTGTATGTCGTAGTTGCACATCCTTCTAGTTGCTGTATGTGGGACGCGGCCTCAGCACGGCCGGAGAAGCAGTGCATCGGAGCGCGCCCGGGATCCGAACCCAGGCCGCCAGTAGTGGAGCGTGCGCACTTAACCACTAAGCCACGGGCCGGCCCTAAACACTCTTGAAGATTAACTTTTCTTTGAAAAAAATAACATGGGGCCATGGAAAGACACTCCTAGCTGTCACTCAAGGCGAGTCAAATGAACAAATATGGCCTTGTAGCCATATCACTGCTATTTTTTTAACTTAGTTCTGGAAGTACTACCAATTCAGCTGGTCAAGAGACAGAAATGAGATGTTTAAAAATCGGAAATGAGATGTTTAAAAATCGGAAAATCTAGATGTAAAAAATTGTTAGTTGTAGGTAATAATGATTATGTACCTGGAAAACTCAAGAATATCAACTGAAAAACTTGCACATGCTTGAATACAGTAAGACAGCTGCATACAAAAGTGATATAGAGAAATCTAACCTTCATTTATACAAATAACAACCAGTTAGAAGATCTCATAGAAGAAGAGTCCATTTACAATAGTTCCAACAACAACAAAAATAAAAACTACCAAGATATACACTGATGGAAGAATATGCAAGAGCTAGATGAAAACTTTTTAATGCTCCTGGAGGACACACACACACACACACACACACACACAACCTGAACAAACAGAAGGGTATATCATATTCTGGGATAGGAAACTGTATTAGTGAAGATAAGCTAGGGTTTTGCTTTTTTAACAAATAATCCCCAAGTCTCAGTGGCTAAAAACAACAGATTTTACTTGTGGCTCATATTGCAAATCCATCATGGCTTGGCAGGAAGTGAGTTTCATTGTATATTCTCAGGGACAGAGGCTAACAGAACAGCCGTCATCTTGAACACAGTAGGTTACCATGCCAAAGGAAAAAGGAGACTCTGGAGGGTCTCAAACCAACAATGACAAGCTCATCACAGAAATGACACACGTCGGTTCTGCTCACATCTCATCGACAAGTACTAGCAAACAGCACTAATGACTACCACACAGACTCAGCATCAGAAAAAGAAAACTGCAATAAATAACACAGAAGAGAAGTGACTCATCATTATGTAATCAATAAACAATAGTAGAGTCCAGATATGGACCTGAATGATACAAGAATTTATGATGAAGGTACATTCAAATCACTAGGGGAAAAGGTAGATTATTTTCTAAGTGGTAATGGGGCAACGGGGTAGCCGCATGGGAAAAAAAGTCATATCTATATCTCACAACAAAAAGTTGTGAATCGAAGACTTAAATGTAAAACAAACAAAAAAACTAATAACGAACCATAAAAGTACTAAAAGAAACTTAGAAAGAATTTTTTTATATTTCTCAGAGTGGAGAGGACCCTTCTAAATAAGGTAGAAAGCATTATTAAAAATATTGATAAACACGTAAAAATAAAAATTTTCTACAGAGTCAAAACACAAACAAATGGGGGAAATTTGGCAATTTATATCACAAACAAGGGGCTAATTTTCCAAATATTTGAACAGGTCCCACAAATCAATTTAAAAAAGCAATTTGACAACCCATTGAAAAATGGGCAAAGTATTTGAATAGAATCTTCACAGCAAATGAAATACAGATGGCTCCTGTCTATGAAAAGATGCTCAACCTCACCCATAATAAAAGTAATGCAAATTAAAGCTGCGAAATGCCATATTTCATCTATTATATTGGCAATGAACAAAAAATTTAGTAATACTTCATGTTAGTCTTGATGTAGGGAAATACTCTTTCATAATGCTGACCAATATGTAAATTGTTACAACCTCTTTGGACAACAATTTGACAAAAATCCATCACAATTACAAAACACTTATCCTTTGATCCAGAAATTCTACTTCTAGGAACATACACGTATATATACATAGGTGTATACAAGATTGTTCATTGAAGTATATATTTATAATGCAAAATCTTGAAAATATCATAAATGTCCATTAAAGGTTAAGTAAATTCTGATAAGTCCAGACTTTGTAATACTATGAAGCTTTAAATGAGTGAGTAGGCTCTTTATATATTAATACCTAAGTTATCTAATTGCTAATATCTAAGTTAAGTTATAAAAAAAATCAAACATCATAACTTTAAAGTATGTAAAAAGGGGGATAAAAGAGCATATGTACTTTTCTACCTATGCAGAAAGTATTTCTGGATGGACATACATTAGTAGCCCTAGGGGAGGGGTCTAATGGCCGGGGATAGGACTATTAGGGAGGCTTTTCACTCCACCATTTGTATTTTTAAAATATTATATCTGGTGAATGTACTACTTATTCTTTTTAAATTTAAATATAACAGAGGGAAAAAGACATAAGGGAACTAGAGAATGACCAGAAACATGTTATTTAAAATTCTCAAGTAGATGAAAGTGTTATATGTAAAAACAGATTTAGAAGACTAGGACTATTCAGTCTGGAAAGAGAAAACTAAAGACGGGTATCAGGTAAAACAGTTTTTAATAAATTTCAGATTACCTAAGCTTTGAAATTACAAGTTCCGATTGTATCTCGGATAAGCCTTTCTTCTGCTGCACCTTGTTGTTCCAATCCTTAGTTCCCAAAGGAATTCAGTCCTCAAAAATGTAAATTTCATGAGAACAGGGTACTTTGTTTTCTTCTCTGCTGTATCCCTAGCACCTAGAACAATGCTTGGCACATAGTAGGCGTCCACTAAATATTTGTTGAATAAATGACATAAGTTGTTCCTATAATTAATAATGACCTTTTCTATTATAGGTTTTATTTTGGCATCTTGTAATTTTAGGCTAGAAAACTTCCCCCAAAATAATAGGTTGGTAGCCTCAAACACAAATGCTAAGGAAGGCAGGCCAATTGTCACTTTCCCCAACCTGTTTCTGATGTTTGCAATTTTTAAAAATCAGGACCAGGACCTGTTTCCTCCAGATCCCTCCAGCAGCAAAGTTGCCATGGTAACACCTTGTACATAACCTGCCATCTCCCATTTTAAGTGCATTCATCTTCTGATGAACCCAAAAAGATGAAAGAAATTCAGAATAACTGGAAGCATCTCTAAACTTTTGAAGTTAATGTTTTGGAGATCAACCATGATCCACAAAATACATCTCAGCGTCTCTGCTAGAAAGATAAATGGATGAAATGGATCATGTTATATGACATTTCTTATTTCCTAAAAAATGTAGCTCCTTTTGCTATCTTAAATAGGTTTCTATGTCATAGACCTTCTATAAGACAATCTTTTAGAACGTCTGATCTGACAAATACGTATATACTTATAGGGCAATGAGGAGGATATTTGAAATCAGGACTAAACCAGAAAACTGGACGTACAATAGTTACATCTACCTTGCACGCTGGATGAGCCTATAGGCGATGTACTTGCGAAACAGCTATCCTAGCCGAACTGTGTCCGTATGAAGTGTTTCAATTATGAGATTCCTGGCTGTTGTGTGTAGCTCTGAACGGAGTCCAGAAGCTTTTGTGGCCTGACTTAAGAGTATCAAGTTCTTTCTCTGAGCCTCCATGTCAACAAAATACCTCTGCTCTTTGAGCTCTTGGGGAGAGGAAGGGGGCACCCCCATCTTGGGTTTCTTGGTAACTGAAGCTGAAGTCAGCATCCAGGGCTTGTCTGTAGGAGGAAATCGGGATTTCTGGTCCCATTCAGAAGGTGAGATCTGTGGTGTTTTGGGTAGCTGAGTAGTAAGAGAAGGTAGTGATGTTACAGGCTTCATGAAGGTGGGAAGGGCCCCCTCATCAATGTCAGGGGTTTGTGATACTGGTGTCCTATAATTGATGACATAGGACTGAAATGTTCTAAACTGTTCCATGGAAAAAGGATCGTGGAGTATCTGGATTTCTTCAGAAGTGTCAGAGACCTCTGATATTTGGAACTTCTCAGTGGTGAAAGGAGCTTGAGTTGTCTTGACATTTGGAGCCCTGGGATGGGCCAATGCTGATTCAGATTTCAGAGAAGAAATACTTGCCATTCTTTCCTTACTTTTCTTAGAAACAGAAGAGGACAGATCTTTCTGGGGCTTTCCAGGGGTTGACTGGATCCATAGTGTTGGGGGATACCCAGGGGTAGGAGGGATCCATAGTGAGGAAGCTTGCCGAGGAAGAGTCCATGGTGCCAGATGCTGCCTAAGAGTAGAAGGGGCTTGTAGATAGGGAGATTGCTCATGGACGGCCGGGGGCTGGAATGCCTAGGGCTGCTCAGATGTGAGAGGAGGTCCCAATGCCTAAACTTGCTCAGGGATGAGGGTAACTCCCAAACCCTGGGATTTCTCAGGGGTGGGGGTGCCCGCCAATGCCTTGAACTGCTCAGAGGTAAGAGGGATGCCCCTGTGCCTGGGCCTGCTCAGGGGTGAGAGTGATCCCCTGTGCCTGGGCCTGCTGAGGGGTGAGAGTGATTCCCAG